GTGGTGGCATTAGATGAAGAGGGAAAGTTGCAAAGAGTTCAATAAAATGATTGCGTACCAAAAACAGCACTCTTACTAAGTTGGAGGGGAGAGGAAAAAAAGAAAGAAAACAGATGGATTTTAATGGCTATCTGCTTTTGTCTGGCACCTGAGGAGTGAAAGACAAACTTAAAAATGGTAATGGTAGCAAATTTGGCCACTCAGTGTCCAATCACTAATGACACACCTCGGGAGATCCTGCAACACTTTTAGTTAGTTTATCAAATAAATCCAATGATGATGGATGCATTCATTTACAATATCTCTATTCCAGATGATTGGGAGGGAGGGAAATGAAAGTTTGTCTTTTCAAATAACAGTAAAAGAAATACCAAAACTAATCAGGGTTCCAGACAAACTTTCTACCCCACCCCCAACTATCAATCCCCAAAACAACTTTAATTGTCCTGAAAAAAATTCATAAACTGTCCTAAAATCAAAATGTTTTTTTAACTTTATTATTTATAGTTGTTGGTAGCAAAATAAAATTCACAATTAAAATGTTTAGGAAATAAATTAAAAAAGATAAAATATTGAAGTTTTAAAAATGAATAAATGAAAAAACAAATTAAATTTTACTGTAATTTTTACAAATTTCATACCATTATTTTTATTTAAACATTTTGGTTAATAAAATGATTTTTAATACAGAAATGTTATTAATGTTCATGCTCAAAGTAACTTATATCAAACTTTAAGACTTGTGCACTAGGCATCCATTTTCTATATAAAGAATATTAGCACAGTCCAACTATTCACAATGAAAAAGATTTTAAAGTCTTTATCAAAAACATTTCATTTACAATTATTACATATCTTAATTTTATTAAAAAAAATCCTTTTATTGTCAAAAAACAAGAAAGACTAACCAGTCATACCAAACTAATGCTCTATCATCTTTGGAATGATAGCCCTGACTAAAGGTACAAGCATTCAGAAACAAAAAGGTATTTAAATATAATCACATTTATTTGCAAAATGGACTTCACATAATGTAAAAAATTATTTATTCAACTATTTTCAATATATATGAACAGCTTTAATGAGATTTTAAAGTATATCAGTACCAAATACTTAACTCATAGTATTTACATGAAAAAGTAAGCATGAAATTCTTCCCACTGAATCACTTCAGGCTGTTATTTTTTTGTTAAATCTTATTTTGTCAATGTTGTCTCCAGGCAAGGCATGTTAAGGAATTCATTATATTTCAAAACTGTCAGATTTTGATATATTTTCCTTTTTCATTGATCCTAACACTTAAGTTTTTCCAAGCTAGAAACAGCAATTAATAAGAATTTAAGTTTAAAGAACAAGTATTTATATAGCAACATCCAAATTTATTACCATTACCAAGTTTGTCTAATGAAGGAAGAATTTACTTTATACAACAAATATTCATTTTCCAATATAATCTCATTCCTTGTCAGTGCACTTAATTCAGTGGTGAATATTAAACATATAGATCAAACATTATACAGTTAAAATTTCAGATCAAAATTCAGTTTAATAAATACATATCTGGCTACTCACATTTTTTCAATGCTAGCAGAAAAGCCATAACACTGGACAATTAGTAGAATTCAAGATTCAAATGAGAAACAATTCAAGTAATATTTAAAGTAGATAATTGGTTTGGATTGTTTTATAGCATATCAATTTTTTCCAGGTCATTTAATGTTGTATTTTGTCATTTTGAAAAACAGTTTTATGCATAAATTTGTATATATAATTTGGCTATGTCTGTACTTTTTCATTAGTCACATAAGAAAAAGTTACAACTTGACTTCCATCTTTTCAGATATTTTTAGAAAAGAATTTGAAAACTGCTTATGGAATTCATTATATTTATGGAACAAATAAATATAAAATTTTAAGATTTTTGGATTTTATTGCTACTTAATGATTACAGTTATTAAATCACTGCCCAATAAGAGGAATGAATCCAAATATAGCAAAATAGTTTGTTACAATTTTAAAATAAATATATTTGCATATAACAATGCACTGACTGCTCTAGCAGTGGGAGTGAAATCAGTGAAATTTTGAAACAATCTCATCAGGATCTCAGTGCAGTTTTGACACTGGAAGTCAAGTTGGGTAGTCAACGACCTGCAGTTGAGTTCAACCACAGACTTCTGGTGATTGTAAATGTAAAGCAGCAGATAGACAGAGACAGTTGGAGGATTAAGACAAGTCATTATTTTGATTTGTTGGTAGTCATATTCAGTGGCCAAATCAGAGAACATGTAGAACCAGAGCTATCTTTTTGCTATCTTCTTACTCAGCGTTTTCTATAAGGAGGAATTCTTAGTCCTAAACAGACCATGTGTCGCATTGTACACAACACTACATAAAAATGCCATAAGCCAAACACTCTAACAAACTAACAAAAAACTGTTATCCAATCAAAGTTTTTCAACATTGCCAATAGAATTTCACAGACACACAGTGTACAAATAAGGAGACCTTTATATGCACATGGCTATTTATATTTTTTTTAAACAGTTCTATTTATTCTAAGAAAAGAAAAGGTTGTAATATGTACAATATTGCTTGTAATTTCTATCATTTTTATCTCTCACATAAAAGTCTACATCTCTTATGAAATATCGCTATGATAAAATGCCAACACAGAGCCACCTTGAAGAAATGGAAAAAGAAAAACCAACAAAACAACCCTAACCTGTCACCTTTAATTGAAAAGTCTATATGCAATTGTTGAATAAAGATATAAATTGATTTAAGAATGTGTGCATGACCAATTTCCCAGACATAAGAATATTAATTAGAACCAAGAACTGAGTTGCAATGACATCTAAAAAATCATTTTAAATGAAATAACATTTTTTTAGAGTTAATGCCTCTAAAAAAACAAAAACAAAAACAAAAAAAACACATTATTTCATAAAGAACTAAATATACAGTAATAATAATACACAGCAGAAATACCTCCTACATAAGTGACAATTGTACTTTCATCTTGCAATGTCTTATCATTATATGGGTGGTATCTCTCTCTAATTTCCTATCATGTTTAAGCATCTTTATAATAGATTGACAAAGTAATTATTACAATTAAAGATCGTTCCTTAGAGAAAACAAATAAATCTGAAACCTTAAAGATGTCTTATTAAAACAATGGTTGCACTGACAGCTATTAATATTATCAGTGTAAAGATCACCAAGTAGTTGACTAGCAAACCACATCAAGTGAATTGGTAGTGTCATCAGAGAAATGAATTAAAGAACAATGTTGAATCTCTTCTGATAGATACACATTACATACCTATTTAGACTTTATTCTTAAACACTTGACAGCTTTTCTTTTTCTTAGAAAGTCATTAGCTATTGATATTTTTGTTTAATATGAAGATTCATTATTAATTAATTTTTGATTTTGTAAAAATTTAATGAAGGTCACAGAAAGCAAAATTGATAAGTTAATTTTTTAATTCTGAAAATGCAATTTTTTTTAAAAGTTAAAATCAGGATTTAATAAAAACACTAAATTGTAGAGATTTTATCTACATGGTCTACTTTTTAAAGTTCAAACTAGGTTACCCAGTAAAATTCCAAATAATTATCAATGGCTTATAAAATTATATACCAAGATGCATGGATACAACATTCAATTTTGTAATCCATTTTTATAAATAACACACCCCAATCTTTATTTTTTTTTTGACATATTTGGTTAATGACTACCTGCAGCATAAACGTTTCTTTTTTTTTTTTTTTTTTTTAAACCTTCAACAATACTGATTCAGCAGGGAATTAATTATGAAAGCAAAGGATTTCTTATTGAAAGAGAATGTATAGGTAAATGAACACCTGTATATTTTTCAATTTATTATCTTTTAAAAGGTTAATGCTAATTATAGAAATCAAGTTTTAGTTAGATTCTAGTGAAATAATGAAGAATGGTATTTAAACTAAAAGACAATCAAATAGAAGATAATAATTCTTGAAAGTAAGTTATTTATAGCAGTTTGTATGCCTATGACCAATTCTTTCCTTCATAAACACAAGATTAAAAGGTCAGAGAAACAAACAGGAGAGTTAAATGTTTGGATATATCATTTAATTATTTATTCTTGGCTGTCTATATTAACTTATTCAAGGACTGATAAATTGATTTTGATTTTTTATAGCCTATCAGCTTTTCATAGGTTATTTAAAACCAAAATATATTTTGGGGGTTTAAGATTGTAAGAATTTTTTTTTGGCAAGTGAATATTAATTTTTTGGAGATAATAATGATTCTCACATACAATGGGGAGAGAAGAGGTGGACTCATTTCTTTCCCAAGGGTATTTGCGCGTAAGTGAATGTAATGAACCAGACTGGAATTCAAACTCAACTCTCCGATTTCTCATTCGGAGCCATTATACATTACACCACCCGCATATCCAAGCTTACAGCACCTGGTATACCCAAGTTGTCACCTATCTAGGTATTGACCAGGATCAACATTGCCTAACTTTGGTGACTAGATGAGAACCTGTCTTTCAATGTGATATGGTATTAAGCCTAAATTGTGCAAGGAGTAGCAATGTTAAGAATTTGCAAATTAAATTTGGATTTAATTTAAAATTCCAGAGTAACAACTTTAAAGAGTACATTTTACAACACAGTACCATTGTTGTTCCTGCATGATTAGTACCTAAAAGATCTCATATCTTTAACATTATAAAAACTTCAGACACCAAAACTTTAGAACAATGCTATAATCACAAGGTATTTTCCAAATAACAGAACATAAAGTGTAGAATTTCTTTCAGAAGTACTTTTTGTTCTTTTTAAACAAAAGAAAAACTTAATTTTAGCTACTTGAAGATAAAATAAATTTCTAAAATAGGAAATAATTGTGTAAACATTGACATTTTCTTAATTAATAACAGTAATTCCATAGTCATAGCATAAAATATTATTTATCAAATCTCTTCTGTTAATTGCTTATGGCCACATTATGTTGAAACACTTGTTCCCATATGATCACCAAACTTAAGCAACTTCAAGCCTGGTCAGTACCTAGATGGGCGACTGTTTAGAAATACCAGGTACTGTAAGCTTAGATGTGTAGGTGATGTAATTGACAATAGCTCAGTAATCAGAGAACAGAGTTTCAATTCCAGTTGGGTTCATTATATTCACTTATGAGCAAATACACTTGGGAAAAGTATGATTCTATCTCTTCTCCCTCTAGCCATGGGTTAATTAGTAAGACTTGTATCACTAAACCACTATTATCTAAAAAAAAAAAAAAAAAAATCTCACAATCTAAAAATATTTTCTGGCTTTAAATAACCTGAAAAGGATTGCTAAGCCATAGAAAAAAATTCAATCTTCTGTTAATTCTTCATTAATTAATAAAAATTAAGCTTTCTATACAATTTGTTAGTAAACTGGTAATTTGTTTTTAATAAGTTAACCTTTTAAATGCAACTATGCCCAATAAAATATGTCCATGCCTTCCTACTTTCCAAGTTAATTGTGAAATTCATAATCTTTTCAATAGCTGCAGATTATTAGTTTTTAATTTAGAGTTGTTCTTCTCCAATTGGTTATCAATCACAGTTGGAAAGATCAGATTGCCCTGTTATTTAACCCATACTGGAGGATTTATGGATTTATTTTCTTTACTGGAGAGACTAAAATAAATGTATCTTCTTTTGATGCTTTTTCAATGACAGCAAGATTTTTAAAATATACATCATAACCATCATCCCCTTGACTTTTGTAATTGTAGGGAGGATCTGAATGTAGAAGCCATACTAAATCTCCTCCACAACAGTCTATCAATGGCAGCCATCAGCAATTCTGGTATAGTCATACCTGTCCATTGTTTGACATTGTCCAACCAAGTTTTGCATTGGCGTCTTCTACATCCACCTTCAATGGTGCCTTGCATGATGGTCTTGTAAGGGCTGTTGTGCTGTGTAACATGTCAAAACCACACCATTTTTCTGTTTGACAGTGGCAAGAAGAGGTTCCTGGTGGCCCATAAAACATTCAACCCTTTTCCACATAAACTCATTGTTTTTTTTGTTCCCAATAGAAAATGCCAAAGAGTTTTCTCAATGCATTTGTTCTCAAACACTTGGATCATTCTCTCTGTTAACAGTGACCACATTTCACATCCATATAGGAGAATGGAGGCTACCAGCAATTTGTACAGTCTGTACTTCATTTAAAAAAAAGCTGATTTTGCTCCTCCATATTCATGCCAATTTGGCCATCACTGCCATGTCTGTGGCAATCTGTGTGTGGATTTCCAAGCTGCAGGTACCATCTTTAGACAAGTATTTAAAACTGGACACTTCTCCCAGTGAATTCCTGTTTATGGTAATGTTGACACAGGTGTTACAGTTTGGGCTATTCCCCATTACTTTGGATTTCTTGGAGCTCACCTCCATTCCATATGCTCCTGCTCTTTCAACAAGTTTGTTGGTTAAGTCTTGGAGTTCACTGTAACTACCTGCTATGAGGTCAATGTTGTCTGCAAAACGTAGGTTACAGACAAGTCTACCACTGATAGAGATTGAAGGATCATGGTTGTTCAGTTTTTTTGTTTTTTTTTTGCATAATTCTCTCTAGAAATAGGTAGAACAATATGGGTGAATTTATACAAATGTTTAAGACTTTAAAAACAGCAAGAAATGGTCATGGTTGACCCTTCTTTTGGCAAGACAGTGGCAGAGAAAAAAAAAATCTAAAAATATCTTACCGTTTTGATAAAAACCTAGTTAATGCAATCAGCAATCCTAAGCTGTGCTGCAGAAAGTCAGCCACTCCTTTGTCTGTATCAATAGGACCCTGAACAAGGCTGAAATACTGTGTCAGTTTATCAACAATACCCACGCTAATCACATAACTGAAAAAGAAAAAAGAAAAAGATTTATTAGAATTAACTCTTCTCAAGTATAAATCAAAACCAAGTAAGAAACAGTTTCCTGAAATGTGAGATAATGAAAATGAATATCCGAGCAACATTTATTTCATAGTTTCATAAAGATATAGAAAAATGAGCAAAAGCAACGAATGAAGTTTTGGAAGACAAGAACAAATCTTTCCAAAATATACGATGGAATGCAAGAGGAGAGTGAATAATATGAATCAAGTCTAAGTAGATTAAATAAAGGAAAATGAAAAATTGGGATTTCAATCTTAAAATGTAAAATATAGTTGCTGTTTTAAAAATCTCAAGGGACTGATTGGAAAATATATTCATAGAGGAAAACAGAAAAAGAAAGAAAAACAAGAATTGAACAAAGATTTATGGCAACACTTGCACGTAAACAACAGCTTTTGTTTTCATTGTTTCAAGAATAACAAATGAATATCTTGTTCACAAAATAAGGAACAGAATATTCCATATAGTTGTCTTTGGGAAAAGCTTGATTGGATAAAATTTTAAGGGACTTTATGAAAGGTATCAGGATGAAACAAAAGCTATAAATATTTAAATTTTTTACACCACTTGTATATAATGAAGAGAGTGCTAAAAAACTAAAAGGAAAACCAAAAAACAATTCTCTCTCTCTCTCACACACATATATATATATATATATATATATATATATATGGGTGGGCTGACTCACCAAGTAATGGAGATTTTTCAGCATTTTCATCTTAGCCAAATGGGCATCCCCCACCCACCTGGTGGGAGTGCGTATAGTATATACGCATCAGCTACAGTTCTTTTAATATCCTCTCAGCAAGTATTAACTAGTATTAATGATATGAGTTTATAAAAGTAAATATATAAATGGGTACTGAGATGAACACTAATCAGTAACAGAGTCTATTTTATGCTTGAATGTAATCCTCAGGCAGGAAGATTGTGCTCAAGCATGAAACATACTATCATCACTCTTTGTTGGCTTCAGTATATTTGTTGACAACTTCTGTGGATGATGAAGAAACACAGATGTGCCTGAGCAGGTATCAGCAACAGGGATTAACTAGCTGCCCAAGCAGACAGTCACATTCGGAACCAAGTATCCAACCATTAGATTAAAAATTACAATTTGGTGTGTGGAATATCAACGAAACTTTGAACAGAAACTTTCTGAACAACAATATCTCGAGGCAATCCACTGTTTTTAGTCTTCATTAAATTGCTGCAGCCTTTTACTTTTGAGTCATCAGTGTTAGTATTATTTTATAATAAAATTTACAATATATTAATTTCTTCTTCCTCCTCTCTTTTCTAGCTCATGTCAGCCATCAAAATGGTTGTATAATTCACAATAATAAAGGTTAAGCAATATAATTTAGAGAAAATTTGTTACTATTCGCTTCTAAAACACACACACACAAAGAAAATGAAACCAAAAATAAAAAAAATTAATAAATAAAATTTTAAAACTTTAAAAAAAAAAAGAAGAAAGAAGTAAAGTATAGAATAAATAAGAAATCTTTGTTATACAAAACAAATTAAAAACAAATTTTAAATTGAATATTAAGAGATATCAAATTATACTAGCCCTGGAGATATGTTTAAAGTGTATCTGGGAGAAGTGGAATATTATAAGGTAGAAAGAAAACCAACAAAGGTTTGTGGGAGGAGGGGAGAAAGAGACATTCCACCAGTGGTGTGGAAAACAAAAGATAATGAAATGGAACAAATAGTTGCAGTTTAAAAAATTTTTCCATTAATAAATGTTGCTAATAACATTTGAAATGCACCATCAGCTGAACATATGCACAATTTTCAAAAGTTGAATGTGTGAGTATGGAAAGGAGAAAAAAACATCAATCCCACATATGGAATACTAGACGAATGTTTGTCTGCATCATTTAGCAACAAATGAAGCATATGGAGTGACTCAGACAAGAAAAAAATAACCAATCTATCTTAACTAAAATTTTGTGTTTAATATAATTTTAAGTTAAACTAATGTGGTGAAATAGGACCAAGAAATTCTAACCTATGCCTGGCTAAGAGGCCATGATGTCTCACCTGACCAGTAGGAGTGTGATTCTAGTGCTTTTAAAACTGTTGCTAATTCGTATGCATTGTCAAAAACCTGAATGAAAGGTAAGTCACACAGACAAGTAGGGAGAGAATCTACAGATATTGACCTGCACTGATTTTTATTATCACAATGTTTCAGACATTGTTCCCACTGGCCTTCTTCAGGTACTTGTTGATCTGGTTAATAAATATCATATATCAAAACCATGTGACACCAGCTTTACCAATGTCAATAAAAATCTGGTCACCACACATCCCTGCTATCTTCTATATTTGGTATTCTGTGATTTCTGCTCTTTCATCAATTGTTAGATTAGAAACTTCTATTAAGGTGCAGACACTGGGGCCGTCATCGCCAAATAATTTGAAATATTTACTATCTTTTCAAATTATGTCAGTTTTTCAAAGACCACACAAATCCTATAGATTTAACCAAAAATAAAAGAGACATCACAACTATAACAGATTAGAGTCAGACTAGACCAACAACAGATTACTGCAGTCATATCTGTCCTGAAGCTGCTCAGTTCTCATTTTCAATCCTTGATAGGGTTCAAAAACATTTACACGGTCTTAGGGTGATGACTTATTTTCCATTCTTTCCTACAGCCACAATTCTGTAAGCTTGTCACAAAACTATTGCTACTTCCATGGCAAATATATAGATGAATGCCATTTTCTGGTCCCACTGGTTCAGAATGTCACAGCTCAAATTTGCTTAGCCATTTCCAAGGAACTGAATCATCTTTATTACCTTCACGTTTAAAATGTCAGTAGAAAGTTCTACTTTTTCCTAAGAACTGTGACTTTGTGAGACAGACTCCCACTTGGTTCCTTTCTTAAACCCTTCAATTCTAACCTCTTCAAGTCAAGGGTCAAGCATTATCTTTCCGCCTCACCTTTATTTCTTATCACCTTCTCTTCCATTAAGCATTACCATTTTGTTGATTGCAGTGTGTATGTGTAGAATAGGTTGAAACAAAAGTACATGTCATCCTTTAAGGAAATTTTGAAGAAAATATTTAGATATTTGTACATAGGTGCCATTTTGTTCCATTATCTTTACCATCTTTGAGGCAGCTTCAGGATT